CTGGTGAGTGCAGGTTTTTTTTTTTTTTAAAAGAACCAGGAGCTGGGGTGGGCGGGGCAGCCATGTGGGGGCTGGGAGAGCGGGCAGGGGGCGGGGGGCTTATGGCAGAGCCCCCCATGAAGCATGGGGCAATGGGGGCAGCAGGGTTGTCCCCCCTGCCCAGCAGCAGCCGGTGAGTTGGGGCTTTTTTTTTTCAAAGAGCCGGGAGCTGGGAGAGTGGGCAGGGCACCCCTTGAGAGCGGGTGGGGGATGGGGCCAATTTGGAGGTTCGTCCGATTCAGCAGCAGCCGAATCTCCGAATCATATTTGGACGAATTAATTTGGGACAGTGATTCGAATCACCAAGTTGAATCACTGTCCCCTGAATTGGCCAAATCCGAATCTCAAGCGAATACTAGCCGCTTCGCACAGATCTGTAAACTGTGTCAGTACAGCAAGTGAAAATATTGCATTGAGCTAACTCCCCCCAGTTTAAAATCCAAATATACAGAAATGCAGTTGTGTAATAGAGTTTGAAAAGTGCAGCAGAGGTAGGAAGAGTCGTTTTTGAATCCAATGCAGTCAAAGTGTAGTTCACACTTCTGGATCAATATTATGTTTAGAAAATCCGGTTTTCATTTAATTGATTTTTCCTGGGTAGCTTAATAGCATCAGCCAGTAGAAAGGACAGCAAGTAAAATTTCACCTGTGCTGACTGCACGGTGTAACTCTTATTCAAAGTCTTTGGAAATTGGACCTCTGCATGAAGATGACTTTTTCCTTCTTTGTGCACAGAGGTGTTTGTAGTCTGAGTGAATGGATATAATGGATAGGAAGCTGGTAAAAATGAAGATAGCAGAATCTTTGCAGATCAAATTGTTTAGCTGATAATGTATGTCTTGCAATCCAAAGGTACTGTAGTTCTCTTTTCCAGTAAGACTCAAGTCAAGAGATCAAATGATCTAATGTGCTTCCTTATTTGCTATGTCAAGGAATGATAAGAAAGTTGACATTGCTCTAAGAAGTTATTCTTCTTTACAAACTAATTTCAAATACAGAAATATATGACAAATGCCGCCACTGCTTCCAAGCATTTGTTGTAAGTGGATCCTTGTTAGCAGGATGCCTCTGCACCTGTGAAATAATACTAGACCTAGCATCATATGGATAAAGACTAAGGACTGACTATTTTCGCACAGTGCAGCATCTAAGAAAGCTGTATACTTTGTACTTCAGGGGTTGGCAAACTTTTAAAGCACTTGCAACCTGGCTGCTGGCATGAGCCACTGTTCCCCCCTAGCAGGGGAAAGGGAGAGTGGAGTAGAGGGAAGGGAAGGTGGGAAGTAGGTGGCTGCCAATGTCATGGGGAGGGGAGGGAGAGAGATTACCTCTGGCAAACAGTACCTGTGCTAGTGAAGCGGGGAGAGTTAAAGGGAAGGAGAGAATAAGTAACACTTTCCATAGGGGAGAGGTGAGAGAGAGAGAGAGCAGGGGTGGCGGTGGAGGGCAGAGAAGGGAGTGCACTGGGCTGAGCTGCATGCAGTGGATCCCATAGTGCAGGTTGGATCTTTGCGGGCTGGTTCTGGCCTGTGGGCCATAGGTTGCTAGTGCGTATATTCCTTTCTAATTTGGGCTTGGGTAGTTCACAGATGAAACTGGAGCACGGCTAGGCCTGCCTGCATTTGTGCCCAACTACAGGTGCCCTGGGTAACTAGCTTGGGATCATCTTCCTTAGCTGTGCTCTGTACAGTAGCACAGGGATGCCTGGAACCAGTGGCAGTGGCCTTACGTCACCCAGAGGCTTCGTTGTGCCAGGGATTCCTCAGGCAGCTAGCTCAGCCAGCTTTGTAATCACTTTGCACACTCACATAGACCCCCTTCATGGGGCCAGGACTTGGCCCATAGAAAATGCAGCCATATGATTTTTGGGGGGTTTGTTTCTAATTTGCACATGTGTATTGAGAAGTGGAGGAAGGAGAACAGCTTCATGCACTGCTGACAGCAAAGTTGGGAAGACAGGTTCTGTGGTAGTATCATCTTCTGGAAAGATGGCTAAGAGAGACTATGGCAAAGGAGGCTCCAGTGCCCTTCTGGAGGACATCCTTAAAGCCACCACTTATGTGCAGTGCCAAGCTGAAGATGAGTGATGTTCTGAAGAGAGAGACTAAAAGGGATTTCTTGTGAAGAAAGGCCCCTTGTATTGAACAGGAAAATCACAGAATAGAGGCATTTCATTAGGGATATTTTTAAACACCTGGGAGAAGATCACATATACGGTCACCTTAAGAAATTAAGGAGCATCTCCCTTATGGTAAGTCCACTGTTTAGCAGTTCTCATGACTTATTAAATAAGCTGGGCTGATGCATAGATAGGGCGTAATTAAGCATAATTGTACTCTAAAAAAGGCAAAATAAACAGTTGGTTTTCTATGCTCTAGGGGTCCAATCTGACAGACATCTGCACACAGCTCCTACTCCAAGGGACTTTGTTAAAAATCTCAGCTGGAAATATCCAAGAGAGAACATTTTTCCTGTTTGATAACCTCCTGGTCTACTGCAAGCGGAAATCCAGGTGAGCACATCCTTCCAGTCTTGTCACGTGTAGGCTTTCCAGCAATGGGAAAAAGCCAGTCCTGAGCATCTACTCTAGTTCCCATCAGCCTCTGGTCTTGAATTACAGGTTTATAATCTGTTCCTTTTGTCTGCTTCTACTCTTGTCCATTTAGTCTTGTGGACAGAGAAATTGCTGTATAGCCTTGTCCGTGTGCCAAACAGTGACTGAGTCCCTCTGCCCTGAAAAATGTGCCGCTTTAAGACATGACTTGATACAGTGCAGGAAAACCACAGACTGAGGTGTGGCTCTTGGAGCTGGATAGCTTCCCAGAGCAGATGGGTCTCGAGGAGTGATGTGAAAAAGGACATCTTGCCAGCATTCATCGTGAGGTTGTTCCAAGCATATGAGGGCAACATGACAGAAGACTTGAAGCCAGGTTTGGACAATGACAATAAAAGGAAAAGTCCGGAGAAAGCACACAGCATAGGAGCAGAGAGGAGAAGATATAAGGAGATAGTCAGTGTTTGCAGTTTATCCTCAGTAACAGCGATGCATTATAGCCCTACTAGTATTAGCCGTTTTTATTTATTCATTCACTTCGTGCAAGGCTCTCCTTAAGCTCAAGGCACGTCTACTGCAGAATAGCCCATAGTTTACTGTCTTCATGCATTTCCGGAGTCCATTTCTGTCTTTGGTGCTTATCTCTCACTCTCCCACTGCCCTCTTTTCCAAGCTTACCTTCATTCATTGGTTCCTGTGATCCCACCTCTGATATCTCCTCTCATTTCCTCTATGCCGCTCCCAGCTCTTGGCTCAGCGTGCTCTTTACAGTCCTCGGTGAAGGAGGCCTCCCATTCAGAATGGCGTTTCTAACTGGAGCGCTGAGAGACCAAAAGGTCTGTCCCACGAGAAATTTGGATTATATCAGGAAATATTTTCAAAAATGTCCAAATGTTGCCATTTTTGTGGCATGCAAACTCTGAAAAATTCCCAGTGGGAAATAGGCAACCATTTTCTTTCTGTAATGTCCAAATATTTTCTTTTGCTCATGTTGACATGTCAGAATATAGAATTATTGGTTGCAAGTATATATTAATATTATAATAAAATAGAAAATTTTAAATGAAATCAAATGAAGCAGCAAAGGGGAACTTATTTTGAACCGTATCTAAGTGAAATCACTGACATCACTGAAACAAAGCAACAAAAGCCTTTCCATCACAACCGTCAAAAATCAGCGTGTTCAAATGAAACGTTTAGATTGCAGCGAAACTGGTTCTCTGATATACAGATATTCCAGTTAGAAACTTCCCAACCCACTCCACATCTGACCCTGCGTGGTGCAGTTCCAGCTTGTGCAAGAACTCCCTCTCTCCGGGTCTGTTTGCAGTTCAGGTTGATTCAGCCCCTCCCTTGTACATGCGCTTTTCCCGGAATACTAAGTTTTAGGAAACAAAATGTTCCAGGGCCTTTTAAGCAAGTCTCTCTGTTTTTGCACATCAGACATTACTGAACTACTCTGTAGTTTGGCTTGGGATCGGAGGAGGCTGCTGTAACACTCTTGAGTTCCCTAAAGGATCGATGTTGTTTATCTTTCTCTATTAATGCTGCACAGCCTGTCCAAATCTCCAAAATCTGACTTCCATTAAAAAGCCGAGTATTCTAACAAGTCTGCTGAGTATTACTTAATATGAAAGATATATTTAGGGATGGGAGGGCTATTCTAAAATGTGGATGTTTCCCCTGTCTGGCTGCTATTTATAATTTGGTCCAGAGTGGAAATGGATGTCCACGTGCTTGTGATAGCAAGGCCATTTGGCCAGCCCCATGACAAACGACTGAACTAATGGGATGCAGATGTTATGAAATTCAAAACAGTCTGTGGTGCCTACTTTGAAGTCTAATGATCTGATCTGAATTTCATTGATAACTGATTTTCACTGGTCTGGTTATTCTGATTTTAAGGCAAGAACCTTGTTGGCAAGGCTCAAGCCCCGAACCCTAAATGAGCAGTAATGAGACAAAATGCTGCACTTTTCTGATTTGCCATTGTGGGCTTTCATTTCAAACCAGAAGCAGACCCCTTGGAGCCCCAAGGAGTGACACCAGTGTAAACTGGGATCAGAATCAGGACCTACATTTTGACATGCAGGTTTGCTGTCTCATCTCTGCAGCAGCCGAGGAGAAGTCTGCCAAATCGATGACATAGATTTTTGGGGCTGAGTATTGTTCTGTTACTTTAGAAGCAGGCTAGCCTCCTGTTTAAATTGAATCCTGATGTTAGAAACAATATGCTTCCTTCAGGGAAATAGGCTGCGCATCCAAAAGACTTCATTAAGGCTGCCAGGAGAGCTTCTCTTATGAATCTGCCCAGTCCTCTTTAGGAAATGATCTAATGGCCTGAAGATTTCAGGCCTGGTCAGTCTGATTAGATGTAGACATCCAGTCATCACCAACTTGTATTTATCACCCCCACTGGTCAGAAAACGGAAAGAACGTGTTCACGACAAATTTACGATTCCACCTTCCATCCCAGATTTTGTGCAGAAATTTCATTTCAGGAGACTTTTTCTGACCAGCTGATTTTAATTGCAGCTTTATTTATACCCTGTGGGCTCTTGGCAAGTGGCCACAGCAACCCCTTCACATTACAGAGTTTGGACACCAGCCATCTCAACAGTGATGATTTCATCGGTTGTGTTTTGGTTCAGATAGTGGGGTTGTTTTTAGATATCGGAGCCAATTAATGCTTAGCAGGTGCCAGTTTGATTTTCAACTTCTAAATCAGTGGATCTCAAACTTTTTATACTCAAAGCACCACTCATTAGACTGATGGCACCCCTCTATAACTTTTGTAAACTGAGCATTAGCTGTTTCAGAAACAAACTGCTTTATTATGGTGCTTACTTATGTGCAGAGGGTCTGGGCAGTGGGGAATGGGAAATGGCTAGGCAGGGATTGAACCTGAACCTGAGTCTGAGCAGTGGCTTATCTGCCCTGGCACCCTGGCTGAGAATCACTGTGCTAATACAAAGACCCAGGACATAAACAAACCATAAAAAAGGCTTTAAAAAAATCTTTAACCAGTCCTTTCAATGGAGTCACTTCTTTACATTTAATGATAAGGATATAAACTCTGATCTGCTGTATGGTGTTTTTCAAGAGTACGGCATGCCAAGACAAGTAAAATGCATGTAGAAGTCCAGGTGACACCAGTCTTTTGTAGCTTTCCTTACAAATTTGGATTTCAGAATTAATGCACTTCAAAGTTTCCAAAGACTGAAAAAACAAATAGGAGGCTATACTTAACATTTTGCATTAAAACCACGTGAGATTGAAAGTTTCATACCATAATCACCTTGAATTCAGATGCATCAATGACAATCCATGCTGATGTTTTAAAGTGGTTCTAGTCCACAACAAGTATGAAACCTTGCTACACTGATATTCCAGCATGGTTATTATTTGCTTGTTGTCCAACAGATTTCTTAAATTAAAGTTATTCCATAAAGAGTGACATTGGAATGATATGGATATTTTGGGTCACATGACATTTCTATACTCATAACATATTGCTTCTAATATTCATCAAATTTAAAGCAAGAAAATGTATTATCTGCTACACACACAGGCATAGTAACAGTATACATGCAACCTTCAGTTGAATTCATTGAATTTCATTTAATAATTTTTTTTGTGCTTGTTAGTCATCACTCTCATAGCTAATAAACTCAATTACAAACATGACTACTACAAATCACTTTAAAGATTTATTTTAAAAACCAAGGACACACAGAAAATCCAGTCTTTCCCTGGTGGTAGGAAAGTAGATCATGAAGAGAGAGGTTAATTGCATTTCTGATTCCTAATTGCAGAGTTGCTGGGAAAAAGGCTTCTAAACGGACCAAGTCAATCAATGGATCCCTCTATATCTTCAGGGGCCGAATAAACACAGAAGTCATGGAGGTGGAGAATGTGGAAGATGGGACAGGTAAGACATCAATTATCTTCCTTTAAGGACACGGCACATCCAGGTCTTCTCTTGCTATCAACATACGAAGTATTGCATCCAGTTGCAGTACAGCCCTTGCTTGGGATATTTGATGAGGCCTTGGATGAATAACCCAATATAGTCTCTCTCCTTGTCAACTGTTGGCCTGTATCTTAAGCCACTCACAACAGATATAAATTAAATATGGTTGTGATGTGTATGTTACTGTCCTAGTGATCTGGTATAGTTTCATAGTAGCTAGGGTCAGGAGGGACTTGACCAGATCATCTAGCCTGACCCCTTGCCACAGGCAGGAATGAATGCTGGGTTCACAAGACCCCAGACAGGTGATCATCCAACCTCCTTTTGAATTTGCCCAAGGTAGGGGCAAAGACCACTTCCCTGGGAAGCTGGTTCCAGATTTTGGCCACCCTAACTGTAAAATATTGCCTTCTGATCTCGAACCTAAACCTATTCTCCATCAGCTTATTACCATTGTTCCTCATCACCGCAGGTGGTGCTGGGGAGAAAAGGGCTCTACCTATCTGCTGTTGATCTCCCCTGATGAGTTTGCAGGCAGCCACCAGGTCCCCCCCTCAGCCTCCTCTTGCTGAGGCTGAACAGGTTCAGGTCCCTCAGTCTCTTCTCATAGGGCCTGTCCTGCTGCCCTCTCAC